TAGTGGACCCCATACCCATCCTGTGGGTGGTAGTGGACCCCATACCCATCCTGTAGGTGGTAGTGGACCCCATACCCATCCTGTGGGTGGTAGTGGACCCCATACCCATCCTGTAGGTGGTAGTGGACCCCATACCCATCCTGTAGGTGGTAGTGGACCCCATACCCATCCTGTAGGTGGTAGTGGACCCCATACCCATCCTGTAGGTGGTAGTGGACCCCATACCCATCCTGTAGGTGGTAGTGGACCCCATACCCATCCTGTAGGTGGTAGTGGACCCCATACCCATCCTGTAGGTGGTAGTGGACCCCATACCCATCCTGTGGGTGGTAGTGGACCCCATACCCATCCTGTGGGTGGTAGTGGACCCCGTACCCATCCTGTGAGTGGTAGTGGACCCCGTATATATTTTGTGGGTGGTAGTGGACCCCGTACCCATCCTGTAGGTGGTAGTGGACCCCCGTATATATTTTGTGGGTGGTAGTGGACCCCGTACCCATCCTGTAGGTGGTAGTGGACCCCGTATATATTTTGTGGGTGGTAATGGACCCCGTACCCATCCTGTAGGTGGTAGTGGACCCCATACTCATCCTGTAGGTGGTAGTGGACCCCGTACCCATCCTGTGGGTGGTAGTGGACCCCATACCCATCCTGTAGGTGGTAGTTGACCCAATATTCATCCTGTAGGCGGTAGTGGACCCCGTACCCATCCTGTAGGTGGTAGTGGACCCCATACCCATCCTGCAGGTGGTAGTGGACCACATACCCATCCTGTAGGTGGTAGTGGACCCCATACCCATCCTGTGGGTGGTAGTGGACCCCATACCCATCCTGTAGGTGGTAGTGGACCCCATACCCATCCTATATATGGTAATGGACCCCATACCCATCCCATATGTGGTAGTGAACCCCATACCCATCCTGCATATGGTAGTGGACCACATACCCATTCTGTATGTGGTAATGGACCCCATACCCATCCTGTGGGTGGTAGTGGACCCCATACCCATCCTGTAGATGGTAGTGGACCCCATACCCATCCTGTAGGTGGTAGTGGACCCCATACCCATCCTGTATGTGGTAGTGGACCACATACCGATCCTGTATGTGGTAGTGCACCACATACCCATCCTGTAGGTGGTAGTGGACCCCATACCCATCCTGTAGGTGGTAGTGGACCCCATACCCATCCTGTAGGTGGTAGTGGACCCCATACCCATCCTGTAGGTGGTAGTGGACCCCATACCCATCCTGTAGGTGGTAGTGGACCCCATACCCATCCTGTAGGTGGTAGTGGACCCCATACCCATCCTGTAGGTGGTAGTGGACCCCATACCCATCCTGTAGGTGGTAGTGGACCCCATACCCATCCTGTAGGTGGTAGTGGACCCCATACCCATCCTGTAGGTGGTAGTGGACCCCATACCCATCCTGTAGGTGGTAGTGGACCCCATACCCATCCTGTAGGTGGTAGTGGACCCCATACCCATCCTGTAGGTGGTAGTGGACCCCATACCCATCCTGTAGGTGGTAGTGGACCCCATACCCATCCTGTAGGTGGTAGTGGACCCCATACCCATCCTGTAGGTGGTAGTGGACCCCATACCCATCCTGTAGGTGGTAGTGGACCCCATACCCATCCTGTAGGTGGTAGTGGACCCCATACCCATCCTGTAGGTGGTAGTGGACCCCATACCCATCCTGTAGGTGGTAGTGGACCCCATACCCATCCTGTAGGTGGTAGTGGACCCCATACCCATCCTGTAGGTGGTAGTGGACCCCATACCCATCCTGTAGGTGGTAGTGGACCCCATACCCATCCTGTAGGTGGTAGTGGACCCCATACCCATCCTGTAGGTGGTAGTGGACCCCATACCCATCCTGTAGGTGGTAGTGGACCCCATACCCATCCTGTATGTGGTAGTGGACCCCATACCCATCCTGTAGGTGGTAGTGGACCCCATACCCATCCTGTAGGTGGTAGTGGACCCCATACCCATCCTGTATGTGGTAGTGGACCCCATACCCATCCTGTATGTGGTAGTGGACCCCATACCCATCCTGTATGTGGTAGTGGACCCCATACCCATCCTGTGGGTGGTAGTGGACCCCATACCCATCCTGTAGGTGGTAGTGGACCCCATACCCATCCTGTGGGTGGTAGTGGACCCCCATACCCATCCTGTGGGTGGTAGTGGACCCCATACCCATCCTGTAGGTGGTAGTGGACCCCATACCCATCCTGTGGGTGTTAGTGGATCCCATACCCATCCTGTAGGTGGTAGTGGACCCCATACCCATCCTGTAGGTGGTAGTGGACCCCATACCCATCCTGTGGGTGGTGGTAGTGGACCCCATACCCATCCTGTGGGTGGTAGTGGACCCCATACCCATCCTGTAGGTGGTAGTGGACCCCATACCCATCCTGTAGGTGGTAGTGGACCCCATACCCATCCTGTGGGTGGTAGTGGACCCCATACCCATCCTGTAGGTGGTAGTGGACCCCATACCCATCCTGTGGGTGGTAGTGGACCCCATACCCATCCTGTAGGTGGTAGTGGACCCCATACCCATCCTGTAGGTGGTAGTGGACCCCATACCCATCCTGTAGGTGGTAGTGGACCCCGATACCCATCCTGTAGGTGGTAGTGGACCCCATACCCATCCTGTGGGTGGTAGTGGACCCCATACCCATCCTGTGGGTGGTAGTGGACCCCGTACCCATCCTGTGGGTGGTAGTGGACCCCATACCCATCCTGTGGGTGGTAGTGGACCCCATACCCATCCTGTAGGTGGTAGTGGACCCCATACCCATCCTGTGGGTGGTAGTGGACCCCATACCCATCCTGTGGGTGGTAGTGGACCCCATACCCATCCTGTAGGTGGTAGTGGACCCCATACCCATCCTGTGGGTGGTAGTGGACCCCATACCCATCCTGTAGGTGGTAGTGGACCCCATACCCATCCTGTAGGTGGTAGTGGACCCCATACCCATCCTGTGGGTGGTAGTGGACCCCATACCCATCCTGTAGGTGGTAGTGGACCCCATACCCATCCTGTGGGTGGTAGTGGACCCCATACCCATCCTGTAGGTGGTAGTGGACCCGATACCCATCCTGTGGGTGGTAATGAACCCCATACCCATCCTGTAGGTGGTAGTGGACCCCGTACCCATCCTGTAGGTGGTAGTGGACTCCGTACCCATCCTGTGGGTGGTAGTGGACCCCATACCCATCCTGTAGGTGGTAGTGGACCCCATACCCATCCTGTGGGTGGTAGTGGACCCCATACCCATCCTGTAGGTGGTAGTGGACCCCATACCCATCCTGTAGGTGGTAGTGGACCCTATACCCATCCTGTAGGTGGTAGTGGACCCCGTACCCATCCTGTAGGTAGTAGTGGACCCCATACCCATCCTGTGGGTGGTAGTGGACCCCATACCCATCCTGTGGGTGGTAGTGGACCCCGTACCCATCCTGTGGGTGGTAGTGGACCCCATACCCATCCTGTAGGTGGTAGTGGACCCCATACCCATCCTGTGGGTGGTAGTGGACCCCATACCCATCCTGTAGGTGGTAGTGGACCCCATACCCATCCTGTGGGTGGTAATGGACCCCATACCCATCCTGTTGGTGGTAGTGGACCCGGTACCCATCCTGTAGGTGGTAATGGACCCCATACCCATCCTGTAGGTGGTAGTGGACCCCGTATCCATCCTGTAGGTGGTAGTGGACCCCGTACCCATCCTGTGGGTGGTAGTGGACCCCATACCCATCCTGTAGGTGGTAGTGGACCCCATACCCATCCTGTGGGTGGTAGTGGACCCCATACCCATCCTGTAGGTGGTAGTGGACCCCATACCCATCCTGTAGGTGGTAGTGGACCCCGTACCCATCCTGTAGGTGGTAGTGGACCCCGTACCCATCCTGTAGGTGGTAGTGGACCCCATACCCATCCTGTGGGTGGTAGTGGACCCCATACCCATCCTGTGGGTGGTAGTGGACCCCGTACACATCCTGTGGGTGGTAGTGGACCCCATACCCATCCTGTGGGTGGTAGTGGACCCCATACCCATCCTGTAGGTGGTAGTGGACCCCATACCCATCCTGTGGGTGGTAGTGGACCCCGTACCCATCCTGTGGGTGGTAGTGGACCCCATACCCATCCTGTGGGTGGTAGTGGACCCCATACCCATCCTGTAGGTGGTAGTGGACCCCATACCCATCCTGTAGGTGGTAGTGGACCCCATACCCATCCTGTGGGTGCTAGTGGACCCCATACCCATCCTGTGGGTGGTAGTGGACCCCATACTCATCCTGTGGGTGGGAGTGGACCCCATACCCATCCTGTAGGTGGTAGTGGACCCCATACCCATCCTGTGGGTGGTAGTGGACCCCGTACCCATCCTGTAGGTGGTAGTGGACCCCATACCCATCCTGTGGGTGGTAGTGGACCCCATACCCATCCTGTGGGTGGTAGTGGACCCCGTACCCATCCTGTGGGTGGTAGTGGACCCCATACCCATCCTGTGGGTGGGAGTGGACCCCATACCCATCCTGTGGGTGGTAGTGGACCCCATACCCATCCTGTAGGTGGTAGTGGACCCCGTATCCATCCTGTAGGTGGTAGTGGACCCCATACCCATCCTGTAGGTGGTAGTGGACCCCGTATCTATCCTGTAGGTGGTAGTGGACCCCATACCCATCCTGTGGGTGGTAGTGGACCCCATACCCATCCTGTGGGTGGGAGTGGACCCCATACCCATCCTGTGGGTGGTAGTGGACCCCATACCCATCCTGTAGGTGGTAGTGGACCCCGTATCCATCCTGTAGGTGGTAGTGGACCCCATACCCATCCTGTAGGTGGTAGTGGACCCCGTATCCATCCTGTAGGTGGTAGTGGACCCCATACCCATCCTGTAGGTGGTAGTGGACCCCATACCCATCCTGTAGGTGGTAGTGGACCCCATACCCATCCTGTGGAAGTTGAGAGCCCCATACACATCCTGGGGAGGGGGTGGCAATGGACCTCATATGGTCCATAATCATCATCATAACCATGATGATAACCCTGGTGTGGATGGTGGTCGGGAGTGTGGTGCCGGGGATGGTGGTCGGGAGTGCGGTGCCAGGGATGGTGGTCGGGAGTGTGGTGCCGGGGATGGTGGTCGGGAGTGCGGTGCCAGGGATGGTGGTCGGGAGTGTGGTGCCAGAGATGGTGGTCGGGAGTGCGGTGCCAGGGATGGTGGTCGGGAGTGTGGTGCCAGAGATGGTGGTCGGGAGTGCGGTGCCAGGGATGGTGGTCGGGAGTGCGGTGCCAGGGATGGTGGTCGGGAATGTGGTGCCAGGGATGGTGGTCGGGAGTGTGGTGCCAGGGATGGTGGTCGGGAGTGTGGTGCCGGGGATGGTGGTCGGGAGTGTGGGGTCGGGGATGGTGGTCGGGAGTGCGGTGCCAGGGATGGTGGTCGGGAGTGTGGTGCCGGGGATGGTGGTCGGGAGTGCGGTGCCAGGGATGGTGGTCGGGAGTGTGGTGCCGGGGATGGTGGTCGGGAGTGTGGTGCCAGGGATGGTGGTCGGGAGTGTGGTGCCGGGGATGGTGGTCGGGAGTGCGGTGCCAGGGATGGTGGTCGGGAGTGTGGTGCCGGGGATGGTGGTCGGGAGTGTGGTGCCAGGGATGGTGGTCGGGAGTGTGGTGCCGGGGATGGTGGTCGGGAGTGTGGTGCCAGGGATGGTGGTCGGGAGTGCGGTGCCGGGGATGGTGGTCGGGAGTGCGGTGCCAGGGATGGTGGTCGGGAGTGTGGTGCCGGGGATGGTGGTCGGGAGTGTGGTGCCAGGGATGGTGGTCGGGAGTGTGGTGCCGGGGATGGTGGTCGGGAGTGTGGTGCCGGGGATGGTGGTCGGGAGTGCGGTGCCAGGGATGGTGGTCGGGAGTGTGGTGCCGGGGATGGTGGTCGGGAGTGTGGTGCCAGAGATGGTGGTCGGGAGTGTGGTGCCAGGGATGGTGGTCGGGAGTGCGGTGCCAGGGATGGTGGTCGGAAGTGTGGTGCCGGGGATGGTGGTCGGGAGTGTGGTGCCAGGGATGGTGGTCGGGAGTGCGGTGCCAGGGATGGTGGTCGGGAGTGTGGTGCCAGGGATGGTGGTCGGGAGTGTGGTGCCGGGGATGGTGGTCGGGAGTGTGGTGCCAGGGATGGTGGTCGGGAGTGTGGTGCCGGGGATGGTGGTCGGGAGTGTGGTGCCGGGGATGGTGGTCGGGAGTGCGGTGCCAGGGATGGTGGTCGGGAGTGTGGTGCCGGGGATGGTGGTCGGGAGTGTGGTGCCAGAGATGGTGGTCGGGAGTGTGGTGCCAGGGATGGTGGTCGGGAGTGCGGTGCCAGGGATGGTGGTCGGGAGTGTGGTGCCGGGGATGGTGGTCGGGAGTGTGGTGCCAGGGATGGTGGTCGGGAGTGCGGTGCCAGGGATGGTGGTCGGGAGTGTGGTGCCAGGGATGGTGGTCGGGAGTGTGGTGCCAGGGATGGTGGTCGGGAGTGCGGTGCCAGGGATGGTGGTCGGGAGTGTGGTGCCGGGGATGGTGGTCGGGAGTGTGGTGCCGGGGATGGTGGTCGGGAGTGCGGTGCCAGGGATGGTGGTCGGGAGTGTGGTGCCGGGGATGGTGGTCGGGAGTGTGGTGCCAGAGATGGTGGTCGGGAGTGCGGTGCCAGGGATGGTGGTCGGGAGTGCGGTGCCAGGGATGGTGGTCGGGAGTGCGGTGCCAGGGATGGTGGTCGGGAGTGTGGTGCCAGGGATGGTGGTCGGGAGTGCGGTGCCGGGGATGGTGGTCGGGAGTGCGGTGCCAGGGATGGTGGTCGGGAGTGTGGTGCCGGGGATGGTGGTCGGGAGTGCGGTGCCAGGGATGGTGGTCGGGAGTGTGGTGCCGGGGATGGTGGTCGGGAGTGTGGTGCCGGGGATGGTGGTCGGGAGTGTGGTGTCAGAGATGGTGGTCGGGAGTGCGGTGCAAGGGATGGTGGTCGGGAGTGCGGTGCCAGGGATGGTGGTCGGGAGTGCGGTGCCAGGGATGGTGGTCGGGAGTGCGGTGCCGGGGATGGTGGTCGGGAGTGCGGTGCCGGGGATGGTGGTCGGGAGTGCGGTGCCAGGGATGGTGGTCGGGAGTGTGGTGCCGGGGATGGTGGTCGGGAGTGCGGTGCCAGGGATGGTGGTCAGGAGTGTGGTCCCGGGGATGGTGGTCGGGAGTGTGGTGCCAGGGATGGTGGTCGGGAGTGTGGTGCCAGGGATGGTGGTCGGGAGTGTGGTGCCAGGGATGGTGGTCGGGAGTGCGGTGCCGGGGATGGTGGTCGGGAGTGCAGTGCCAGGGATGGTGGTCGGGAGTGTGGTGCCGGGGATGGTGGTCGGGAGTGCGGTGCCGGTTGTATAGTGCCGGAACTCTGGCGGGCCTGACAAAAGTCTGTCATTTACTATCCTGTGTCTATATATGTCACACGACTAACTACTTCGTGTTTGTACTCAATAATTATCATAAAATATAATTATCAAACAAATAAAGAATGAACATCAAACATGTAATTACCAATTTAAGAAGTTAAAACACTTAGAGCTCACAACATACAACCAGTGAGAAGTTTCACAATAGTTTCCTCAAAGGGTGAGGTGTGAGGTGTTTTCTGAGGTGTGAAGCAACTCTTGTCCTAGTGTCATCTACCGATCTGTGGCAGCCATCATCTATCAGCTATGATATGGCGTATGGCTCAGGACTCCACTGACCTAGAGGAGGTCCATGTAGTTTAACAAACATAAGCGCTGATACGTGATTTATGAGGATTCTTGAGCGTGTTGTTGTTATGATCAGGTTCATGTGACTGAATCCTCTCTCACACTTAGCACTACTAATAGGAATACCTTGTAAACAGCTCAGTAATAGGTGTAAATCTTGGGTGATGCGGCGTCCATGATCCTCCACATAGACTCCACATAGGCATTTAGTGCAAAGTAAAAAGAAACCTTAAACCACTTAAAGAGAGATAATAATTCATCTGCTCCCTAATTAGGTGGTATTTCATCAGGCCAGTAGTCCTTCTCAAGGACACACCTTTCACTTAGCAGTGATTTATACATACTTTGAGGTTCAGAAGTATGAGAGACTTTCATGGATGTTGTCGGGAACATCCGGTGCTACAAATTGTTCACAAGACTAGTAGGCACTCTTAGTAATTAATGGAGACAATTTTCTTGTTGCTTGTTTTGGTAATTCCACCAAACTTCCCCTTTTCAATTGCATTTTGAGCTTCTAAAGATCTAGTGCCAGGTTTCTCTTTTAGTCCATGCAATGACCTTATGCACCGTTGACTCAGTTTGTCTGTATACACAATCGAAGTAGTGCTTTTCTGTAGACACTCTGACAGTAAACCAAGTTCATGCAACGTGTCATACATTAGAGCTAAATCCAATAGAAACTGTTCTGAAGTTAGCTTTTTCAACAGATCTTCATAGGTTTTTCTGTCACTTCCAAATCTTGTTTCATCTTTCACTGCTTTTTCAAAATGAAAACAAACTGCATCATAATTTTTCCACTGCTGAAACTGTCCAAAACGAGCTGGCCACCCAACTGGTGCTCAGAACGCGGCCTATTTTAAAACCTGTTGTTCAAGTTGAGAGGCACATTCAGATAGTTCCCTTTGATTAAGAGGTGATGTATTGTAAACTGAGTACAATTTGTCCATAAATGCTTGAAAATCTTTAATTCCGTAAACTTTTCCCACTGAATCACCTCCTGCAAGTTTTAATCTGTCATTAAGACAGTGCCAGATTATTATATCAGGGGTAGTGTTCCTAGAGAATTGTTGCAACCCCAGATTTGACACCAAGCATGACACTTGTCCCATCACTTACAAATGCTACATGGTTTTGTTTCACATATTAGTTCAAACCCAAGATAATTGAGACAGCTCAATAAATGCCTAGCAATAGTTGCTGCTTTCTGATCAGGTAGTTCAATTAGATCTAAGAACATGAAGTGGGGGATTACCTTCCTTATCACTTTCACATTTCAAGTAAACTATCAAAGTTGTTTTAATGCTCAGGCTTGTAGATTCATCAATGAGAACATAAATTTTGCAATTTAGCTGGTTGATACGCTGGCAAATTGTATTTTTTATATTAATGGCTATGTAATTAAATATCTCTGTTGCACTACTGCGGGAAGGCCGGCCCATTCCAATATCAACACCATTTTGCTTTTGTATTTCCAGTAAGTCAAAGAGATCTGTCAAAGTGTCTGTCATTCTGAGCTAAATAATATGCAGAACACAAAATTTAACAAGTTGTCTTTAGCATTCATGGCATCACACAATTTTCCAATAGCATCTTCACTAGCTACATTTTTAACACTTAAAGCAGCAGTGTGAGCTTTCCTATTACGAGAGTAGATTCAAAGTAGCAAGAGGCAACATGAAAAGCACATGGAAAGCCATCACTAACATCCTAGGATCTAAACAGCAATCACATAACAAGCAGATAAAACTTTCCAAGGATGGTTACTCAGCTGCATCAGATTTAGCAAGGGAAACTTAATTTAATAGCTTCTTTTCATCAGTTGATGCTAACCTTGCCAGAAAAATTCCACAGACCCATACATGTTACTACATATCTTGCAGGCAGCTATCCAAACTCTCACCGATCAGCCCTACAGATATTGTGTCCATCATTCACCCCCTAAAAACCAAAGCTGGGAACATTAGTGAAATCCCATCTAAGGTATACAAGTGCCTCCCTTGCCCTTCTACCACCCATAGCTCTGCAATTCAACAAATCTCTAGTATCATACCTTCCCTGATATCCTTAAAAAAAAAACACGAGTAACGCCAGTTCATAAAAGAGGCGATACGACAGTCATAAACAATTATAGACCACTATCAAGTCTAGCAATATTATCAAAATTTGTCGAAAAATTATTTACAAATAGCTCTACTCCTATCTCATAAAATTCAACATACTAAGTCCCTGTCAGTTTGGCTTCCTCTCACAAAAGAGTATCAACAATGCAATTATTAGTCTGCTTGATATAATCTACTCAGTCCTTGACAAAAATGAGTACCCAATTGAACTCTTCATTGACCTGAGAAAGGCTATTGATACTGTTAACCACAATTACCTCTTTCTTAAACTTTACCATTATGAAATCCGAGGGCTTGACTTGAACTATAATCGATCCTATCTTAGTGACAGACACCAATATGCAGCCATCAATGATATAACCTCCCCTCACTCTATCGTTAACCGTAGGAGTGCCACAGGGCAGCTGCCTAGGACCTCTCCTATTTCTTATATACATCAATGATCTGCCTAATGTCTCTAACATTCTTAAACGTATATTATTTGCTGACGATATTACCTTCATCTACTCAGACCCCAACCCACACTCACTAAATAATGTTGTAAATAACGAATTAAAAAAAATCCACTTATGGATGTCAACCAACAAACTCATAATAAACATAGAAAAGACCTACTACATCTAATTTGGAAGCCGATCAACAAATACAATTCAGCTTCAGACAATGTTAGCAGCAGAAATACAAATGATGAAAAGTTCCTTGGCCTAGACTTTATTTATATATTTACTAGCTGTACCCCCATAGCCTGGTGGGGGCCTCGTAGCCTGGTGGATAGCGCGCAGGACTCGTAATTCTGTGGCGCGGGTTCGATTCCCGCACGAGGCAGAAACAAATGGGCAAAGTTTCTTTCACCCTGAATGCCCCTGTTACCTAGCAGTAAATAGGTACCTGGGAGTTAGTCGGCTGTCACGGGCTGCTTCCTGGGGGTGGAGGCCTGGTCGAGAACCGGGCCGCGGGGACACTAAAGCCCCGAAATCATCTTAAGATAACCACAAGATAACCCGGCCACAAATTGCTGTGGCTCAATAACGCATGTGCGTTGCTGAGCTAAGGCAACCTTGCCCTGTCTCCCAGTCCTCCTCACCATTCCCCCCTCCCCCGTCCCCTCGTCCATCCAACCATTCCTCACTCTCCCGTCCCCTCGTCCTCCCAACCATTCCCCACTCTCTCGTCCCCTCGTCCTCCAAGCCATTACCCCCTCCCCTGTCCCTTTGTCCTCCCAACAATCCCCTATGCCACCATCCCCTCATCCTCCTAATCATTAACCACGCCACCATCCCCTTGTCCTCCCCACCATCTCCCACTCCCCCGTCCCCTCATCCTCCCTACCATTCCTCTCTCTTCCGTCCCCTCGTACTTCCCACCATCTATCCCTCTCCTGTCCCCTTGTCCTCCTCACCAGTCTCCATTCCCCTGTTCCCTCGTCCCAACCATTCTCAATGCCCGCGTCCCCTCGTCTTCTCCACCTTTACCCTCTCCCCTGTTCCTGTGTCCTCCCCACATTCACCCACTCCTGTCCCCTCGTCCTCCCCACTCTCTCGTCCGATGCATTCCCAAATGATCTGATGTTCCCATCAGAAAATTGGGAACATCAAATGATCTGGTAATCATTTGGTAATTACAATTACCATTACATCAAATGATCTGGATCCCATCATAATGATGATACTACCTTCATCCACTCAGACCCCAACCCTCACTCACTAAATAAAGTTGTAAGTAATGACTTAAAAAAGTCTACTTATGGATGTCAACCCACAAATTTATAATAAACATAGAAAAGACTTTTTACATCTTATTTGGAAACAGATCAACAAATACAATTCAGCTTCAGGCAGACAATGTTAATTTTAACATCAGCAATACAAATGATGGAAAGTTCCTTAGCCTAGAATGGTCCTAATGGTGAATTACCATTGATAATGGTAATCCACCATTACCCCCTCCCCTGTCCCCTTGTCCTTCCCACCATCACCCACTCCCATCCCCTCGTCCTCCTCAGCATTCCCCACTCTCTCGTCCAATGCATTCCCAAATGATCTGATGTTCCCATCAGAAAATTGGGAACATCAAATGATCTGATGTTCCCATCACTGCAATATAAGAAAAACAGTTAAAAAACGAAATGAAAAATATTGAAAAAATAAAAAATAAACTGTACTCACGAAATGGATGGTATGGTAAACAGCACAGCTCAATTCCAACGCAACGTCACACAAAATAATGAAATCAAAATGAAAATAAATCAATATCTATGAAAATTCAATTTATCAATGAAATCAGAAACATTGAAATGGAATCATAACATATTTAGTATTGCGTGTGTGGCTCTTATGTGTAACAGATGGCGCTGTAAAAAAAAATCATGTTTTTACCTGTCACAGGTGGGCATCTATAATTATACTTATGAAATGAACAGTATGGTAAAAAACACCGCTCAATTCCAATGCAATGTCACACAAAATAGCTAAACCAAAATGAAAATAAATCGAAATCTATGAAAATTCAATTTATCAATGCAATTGGAAACATTGAAATATAATCATAACATATTTAGTATAGTGTTTGTTGCTATACGTGCAACAGATGGGGCAATTTAAAAAAAAAGAGCATGTTTTAACCCCTCACTGGTGTGGCATCTATAAAGTAGGTATATTAAAACACACGCGTATTTAAATGGAACATTGTGCCAAAATTTCAAAGCCATCGGTGAAGAACTTTTGTAGATTACAGGGTGTCTTGCTCTTACGTACAACTGATGGCGCTATTTTTATAAAAAAAAATGTTTTTTCCTGTCACAGGTGAGGTATGTATATAGTAGGTATATAAAAACACGCACCTTTTTGAATGGAACACTGTTAAAATTTCAGAGCAATCGGTAAAGAAGTTTTGAAGATTTTCCTCACATGAAAAACACATGTAAAAACACAGTTCTCAAAATGAGCATGTTTTTTCCCCGTCACAGACATAACATCTATATAGAATGTATACAAAAACAAGCTCGGATGCGAATGGAATGTTGTGTGAAAATTTCAAAGCAATTAGTGAAGAACTTTCGGAGATTAGTGATTTTGAACAAATGAACATTTACATTTTTATTTATATAGATTTATTTATATATCAGGTAGCTCAACAGTACTACTGCTATATAGTACACAAGACACACACACACTCTCTCACCCTCGCTCCCCTCGGTTTTGCGTTTTAATCCTGCTTTGCAAGTTAAATCTGACTATGGACTCTGACTATGGATTAACAAAAGATACATTGTAGCATAAATTGAGGATTATTTCTAGGTACATTATAGTAAAACTTGCATTCAACTTAACTATCATATAAGATGATAGCAGTGAATACAACGGTGAAGTTGTATGGCTTAGGCATATATTTTGGGGGAGTGGGTACCACAAGATACAGTGCAAGTTTGAAACACTAGGTAAGAAGAAACTATGAGGATGAAATTAGGTACTTTTTGGTTTTAGTTTTGAATAAGCCGTAGGATGGACAGCTTTTTAATTCATTAGGGAGTGAGTTCCATAGACTAGGTCCCTTTATTTGCATTGAGTGAATACACAGATTTAATTTGACTCTGGGGTTACCAAAGAGATATTTATTTCTGGTTTGGTGATTATGGGTACTATTACATCTACCAAGTAAGAGTTTCATATCAGGATTTGCATCTAGTAACAAGGTTTTGCATATGTAAATGGCACAAGAGAATGTGTGGAGTGAGTTTATGTTTAGCATGTTTTGGGATTTAAACAGGGGGCTGAGTGTTGTCTGAAAACAGAGTTTGTATTAGCAGTTTGTGTCAGAGTTTTGATAGCAGATTTTTTTCTGGGTGATGATGGGCTTGAGGTAGTTTGCAGTTATCTTGACATGATTTCGGGGCTTAGCGTCTCCGCGGCCCGGTCCTCGACCAGGGCTACTTTTTGTTACACATCCCCAGGAAGCAGCCCATAGCCGCTGTCTAACTCCCAGGTACTTATTTACTGCTAGGTGAATGGGCTCATCAAGGTGAAAGAAATTCTGCCAATTTGTTTCCGCCTCCGCCGGGGATCGAACCCGGAACATTAGGACTACGAATCCCGAGCGCTGACCACTCAGCCGTCAGGCCACAGACAGTTACCTTGAGGTTACCTTGAGGTGCTTCCAGGGCTTAGTGTCCCCGCGGCCCGGTCGTCGACCAGGCCTCCTGGTTGCTGGACTGATCAACCAGGCTGTTAGACGCGGCTGCTCAGCCTGACGTATGAGTCACAGCCTGCTTGATCAGGTATCCTTTGGAGGTGCTTATCCAGTTCTCTCTTGAACACTGTGAGGGGTCGGCCAGTTATGCCCCTTATGTGTAGTGGAAGCGTGTTGAACAGTCTCGGGCCTCTGATGTTGATAGAGTT